AAAGGAGCTCCAGCAGATGTCAGAAAAGCCGTTGAACCAATTGAGGCGGCTAAATGGCAAAAATCAACTTTTCGTAGTCTCCAATAAAATTTTCATACATCCCCCTTCAGGTAATTGACTCGGTCGCTGTATTCCGTGTTGAAACCGATTCAGCCTGGTCCGACATTATGGACGTGCAGTTGACCGTGTCACCACCTTCAAAACCCCGTGTGAATCCATTCGATTCGATCTTTCGCCAGAAACGACAGCCTCTTCCACCATGGTGTATTTGCGAGATTCCTAAGATAACATGTCCACCTGGACCTCCAGGACCACCTGGTCCAGCTGGCCAACCAGGTAATTCCCTAACTCACTCTCTGTTCATTTTTGCATCTTTTCTGCTAGCGGAACAGATCTTATTTCAGGCAATCCAGGCCCTCCTGGCCCTCCTGGAAAGGACGACACAACTGTTTATGCACCTATTCATTGCCCTGCCCCTGACAAGGCTTGCATAAAATGTCCTCCAGGACCTCCAGGACCACCAGGACCCGAAGGACATCCGGGCCCCAAAGGAATGGACGGCAAACCTGGAAGTCCAGGAAAACGTGGACAAGACGGCAAGCCTGGCCCTGCAGGTCCTCCAGGAGAGGCGGGGCCTGCTGGACATCCCGGATCCGACGGGAAACCTGGTTCGCCTGGTAAAGACGGGCAGAAGGGGTCGGGCAAACCAGGACCAGCGGGACCGCCAGGCCCACGCGGAGAACCTGGAAAGCCTGGCGAACTCGGCAAGAGTGGTGCTCCGGGTACACCCGGTCCTCAAGGACCTCCTGGGAAAGAGGGTGCACCTGGAGGCAAAGGCATGGATGGACATCCTGGTACCCCCGGTGGCCCTGGACTACCAGGAAGAGATTCGCACTATTGCCCATGTCCTCCTCGTACTATACTTGAAATGAAAAGAAAGAAGAAGCACTGAACTGAGCCATCCTCTTTGCTTTCAACGTAATCGCTTCATGATGAGGATTTAAAATAAAGAATTCATGCATGAGTTCTTGTTGCAAAGACCAAAAATAAGCTGCGAACCGTTTTTCTTAATGCAGTGGATTCAAAGAGACAATGGCAAGAAACACAGAAACACAGAAAAGTATGGGCTTAGGGCGCTAGGTGCCTCTGCTTGTCACCTCCCATTCGGGGACAGCGTTAAGACCTAGGAATCTCACTTTTTACCTCCGAACATGGCATTATCCTGAACGGCTTGGTTGACTTCGGTAAGATGACTGCAATCGCAGCTGTATATCCTTCTGAAATCTCTGGAGACTTTAACCCTTGTCAGGACTCTTCACTTCAGGATCAAAAACGAATTACCGTACTCTTGAAAATTCCCGGACACAATCGAATTGGGATTGAATTTTCGAATTCAAAATTTTTGAATTTCTACAGAATGAATGAATGTCTACAGACGAATGCGACCCCTCGCTACAGTAGCGAGCTCTTCCTTACTGGTACCCCTAAAAGGGCAGAACTATGCTTTATACTGTACTTGCCCACTTTTTTTCGTTTACCTGCTATGCCGTAAGGGGCGAATCACACTCCAATCCATCTTCATATCCTAGAGGTGCTGGATATCATAGTTATAATGAGCATGATGAATTCGCTTCGAGATATTTCAGACATGATGACGTTTTTTTCACATCAAAGACCGAAGGGACCAGAACGTCAATAAATCAGGATTAATAGCCAAAACCGTCCGTGGCACTGAACTCCTAGACTGATAATAAATCGTTGTTTTGACCAGATTTTCTTCTACTGACTAAAAATCGTCCACCAAAGTTTATTTTGTAGCCACCTTTAGGTCGATTATGTAAATTTAGCGAACCCCGATCATGCAAATCTGTCATGCACCACGAACTGCTTTCATAGGTGTCCATCATTCAAATCGAAAACCCTATCAGCAATGTTGCCTTTGTGCTGAATCATTTTCTTTTCTTTTTAGTGCCATATTTGTAGCCACACCTAGCGATCTTTTGATGAAAGTATTGAATATTCAACGATTACTTAGGCCTTTGCCATTTCTGGAGTCGTTGACATCTTCACCATAGGCAGCGGAAAAAGTTTTGTGGCTAGGGATCCTGCTTACCCCAAGAGTCTCTTCTTAAGTTGAGGATAAGAGGAAACTGGAGATGGAAGGAGGGGCGGGGTGTGCTTCCACCAACCCATGCGATATGGTACATGGCGTAATCTTTACCATGTTAGTGTAGTTACAGAAATAGGACCCAGATTCTTACTTATTCGAATCTAAAACTAGTCAAGCGACCAGGGCGAGTTGAACTCTTTGAATCCACTGCACCTAGTTATACGTTGAAAGGCCTTGCGATTATGTGTTCAAAGTCCCATAACTGAACCACCACACCCGAAGACTGAGACGAGTTTC